TAGGATTTCATCCACAAACCAGCTGAGCACTGGTGCCTCACATCTGAAATCCTAGCTACTCAGGAGGATGAGATCTGAGGATCCTGGTTCTAAACTAGCTTGGACAGGAAAGTTCCTGAAACTCTTAATTAATCAACAAGAAGTGGGAAGTGGAGGTGTGGCTCAAGTGGTAGAACACTAGCCTTGAGTGAAAACTCTGAGGGACAGTGCCCAGGCCCTGAGTTCAAGCTCCAATACTGGCGCAAGAAACAAAAATAAACAATAACAACAACAAAAGCCCTAAAAAACACCCATTCACAGTTTCAGCCACTGCTTTTACAAAAAGGATAGTTTTCTTTTCAATCTAGATTCTTTCTATTTATTCCATCCACCCCATCCCTCATCTGGACAACTGAAATGATACCTTACACAATCCCTCTATATTCAGTCTCTCTCTCCCTCTCTCTCTCTCTTTCCCTCTCTCTCTCCTTCCCTCCCTCCCTCCCCCCCCCCCCCTTTCTTTCTTCTGTGATTAATTGGAGATAGGAGTCTCACAGACTTTTCTGCCCAGGCTGGCTTCAAACTGATCCTCAGATCTCAGCCTCCAGAGTAGCTAGGATTACTGGCGTGAGCCACTGGTGCAGTCTTTTCCCATTACATCTACCCTCCCCGCATTAGAGTTGGTATGATCTTCTCAAAATGCAAATCTGATCGCTCTACTGCTGGAAACCATTCAACAGCTTCCTCTCCTGGCTGAGATTTATTGTGGTGCTGCCAATTTCTCTAGCATCATTTCATTTCGGCTCCAGACTCTGTTTCTTATCACAAGTCCCATTTTCCTACTGCTCACAGGTTTCTTCAATGCAATTCTCCTCCAAGGACACCTTTCTTTCCTTCTTTAGTTAATTCTTACACATTTTTTGAGCTTATCCTATACCAAATCAAAATTTGCTCATTATGTTCTCAGAGAACATTCTACCCTTTAAGTTTTATGGATTACCAAAGATGCAGTTTCACCTTTCATTCAGAGAATTATTTGCTGAAACTTCAAGGGATCTTTTGTAGATGTTTCTAAATTTAATTAATTAATTTAGTTAGTTGGTGCAAGTATGGGTTTGAACTCAGGCCTCATACTGCCACTTAGCTTTTTTATTAAAAGTAGGTACTCTAACACTTGAGCCATATCTCCACTTCTGGTTTTTTGCTGGTTAGCTTCAGAGTCTCAGATTTTTGCCAAGGCTGGCTCCAAACCTGGATCCTCAGATCTCAGTCCTGAGTAGTTAGGATTACAGGCGTGAAACACTGTTGCCTGGCTCCACGGAATTAAGCTCCGTGATAGACAGGAGCTATTTCTCTTCATCATTCACTGTCTATCAGCAAGCACAAGGGCTGGTGAATATAAATTCTACTCAATAAATACCTGTTGAATTTTTTTTTTTTAGTCATCACCCAAACTGCTCTCTTGCCTTTGGTTAATATGAAATTCTCTTTCCCTCACAAAAATATTTTCAACTACAGTAGCAGGTCTCTGTTGTGTATGGCATGCGTGTCTAGTTAGTCCTTAAATGTTTTTCATTTGGATTTTTCTTGACTTAACATTTTAGAAAGTTTCTGTTCACATGTCTCATCAAAATATCTGTAATTCATCACAGTTTACATGAGCTGCTCTTCCTCCTGCCATCGTGCAACACGCAAATAATTAAATGAGGAAAGAGGTGGTATGGTTAATTAACCATACATTAGTAAAGAGTCCTTTAACCTATAGCATATAATTCCTGAGTTGCTCTATTGTAAAACTTAAGAGCTCAGGAAGGGACTTTCTCTGTCTCTGTCTCCATTTCTGTCTCTCTCTCTTTTTCTCTGCCAGTATTGGGGTTTGAACTGAGGATCTCATGCTTTCACAAGGCTTTTTTTGCTCAAGGCTGGCACTCTACCACTTAAGCTACTCCTCCACTCCCAGCATTTTGCTGGTTAATTAGAGATTAGAGATAAGAGTCTCTTGATTTGTCCGCCTACACTGGCTTCGAACTGCAAGCCTCAGAATTTAAGCCTCCTTAGTAGCTAGGATTACAGGTGTGTGTCACCAGTGCTCATCAGGGAACTTCTTAAAAGGAAATAGACTTGTCCCACATCCACAAATCAGCCAACGACAAATGCTGGAGGGGATGTGGAGAAAGAGGAACCCTGTTACACTGCTGGTGGGAATGTACACTTATACAACCACTTTGGAAAGCAGTCTGGAGGGTCCTTAGAAAGCTAAAGATTGACCTCCCTTACGACCCAGTCATACCACTTCTAGGCATCTACCCTGAACAACAGGAACCAATATACAAGGACACGTGCACCTCCATGTTTATTGCAGCACTGTTCGCAATAGCCAGGATATGGAAACAACCTAGATGCCCCACCACAGATGAATGGATCCAAAAATTGTGGTATCTATACACAATGGAATATTATGCAGCCATTAGAAATGACAAAATAATGGCATTTGCAGGGAAATGGATGGAGCTAGAAGGAATCATGTTGAGCGAGGTAAGCCAAGAACGAAGAGACAAACGGTACATGGTCTCCCTGATAAGTGAATGCTAAATCCAAAAGGTTAGGTGATACGATAAAACTAACAGGACTTAAGAAACAAAGAACTCCCGCTCATCTGGTTGAACCACTACTAAATATCCCAATGCTACTGATCACAAATGTGGTATATAACATGTGAACACTGTTATATATTACAGACTGTGGTAGACAATTTGCTCCAGGGAAGTTAGAATGAACTTGTGACTTTGAAATTATGTAATCATTTAATCACAATCAAAAAAAAAAAAAAAAAAAGAACCTCGGGGAAGGGAGGGAGGGAGGGGATGGTAGGGGGAAAACAATGGAGGGGGTAACAATGTTCAAGAGGAAGTGTACTCATAACCTCACTCATGTAACTGTAACCCTCTGTATAGTAGCTTTACAATTAAAAAAAAAAAATTGGTAAAAAAAAAAAAAAAAAAAAAGGAAATAGACTTGTCAGTAAGTGAAGAGGAGAGAAGAAAAGGGAGAAGAGACGGGAGGGGAAGCATTCTAGCAAACAGGACCAAGAAGTAGGCTTGGGTGTCATCCTCACTTTCTCTTTGTCCAATGACCTATCTGCTTTCAATTTCCTATACCACAAAACATTGATCCTTATCCATGTGACATTCCACTTAAGCAGTCATAATGGGGTGAAACTCTAAAACCTCATGGATTGTAAAGAATTGAAATAGGTACAAAAATATATATTGTTCCCCTGTTAATACTAGCTCCAATTCAGTCTACTTGCACTCCTTTAAATCAGCTTAATTTTCTTAACTCAACATCAGGCCACGAATACTAAAGCATTATCTGTTGGCATAAGGCTCCCTTTGGGTTTGATGGAAATATTCTAGAATTAGATGCACAAACATAGTTTACATAACATAATGACTATACTAAAATCCATTAAATTGGACAGTTTTAAGTGGTAAACTTTATTGACTATGAATTACATCTCAATTTTAAAAATTAGGGTTGGGCATTTAGCATTCCATAGCAATTTCAACCCCCCACCCCCAGCACCGGAAAATTAATTTTAACTAATTAATTAACAGGGTTACCAACAGCTTTAAATTTTTTTTAAAAATTTTGATCTCAAACTCTGAAGATATGGAGAAATAAGACAGTCATCCTTAATTAGGAAGAGTTCTTCAATCCTGCATTTCAACATGCCACATAAAAATTCTAAGAGAAGCCAAGCCCCCGTGGCACACACCTGGAATCTTAGCTACCCCAGAGGTGGAAATAGGAGGATCGCAATTTCAAGCAAAACCGGGTAGGAAAGTCTGTGAAACTCTTATCCGCAAAAAACTACTCAGAAAAAGGCGGAACTTGTACTGTGGCTCAAGTGGTAGAGCACTAGCCATGAGCAAGAGAAGCTCAGGAACAGCACCGACCAGGGTTCAAGCCCCAGGACCAGCAAAAAACAAAACAAAACAAAAAAACACCAAAAAAATTCTAAGAGACTATCTGCAGGGTTTATGTTTTTCTTTGGCTTCTCTCTTACCTTAACCACGAGACGTCCCTTCTGCTTCTAGTTTTGTCCCTCACGTTTGCCAGACATGAATGCCCTCGTCAAATATACCGAATCAGCTGAGAGCTTCTGTCCTCTGTTGGTCTAAATTGTCCTAACCGTGGACCTACCAGAAACTCCTCATCGGCATCTTGAGTCTGCTTCCTTTCAGATCCTCCCGTGCCAAGTTCAGAGAGGTTTTGTTCCAACATCAAAACACAGCTGAATTCCCTTTTCAAAAATGGAATTGATACAGAGCCCTGATCCTGCTAATTTAAGGAGGTATTAAAAGCTGGATTCAGGTTCAAAACAAGTGGGTCAATTCTGGGAGAATTTGCTCCAATCTGTTCCCTTCCTCTTTCCCATCCCCACCCTGCACGATCCGTTCTACCGCCTTGATTTAATCGTTTGCCCCCCCCTCTTCCCTGCACCCCTAGATCCTTTGCACAAGCGGTTCCTCCACCCCGGACTCTCTTTCCCCGGTTGTCTAGTGGATTCCCACTCATCGTCCATGTCTTCCTGGGCCAACCAAGCTAAAAGTATTGAACGGGAGTTTTCTAGCCAGCAGGCTAGTCAGGCTAGTCCATAGACGTGGAGAAACTGAGGGGCGGTGGACAATTCATCCCAGCAGAGGAAGCGCCAGAACCCCTAGATGTGATTTCATCCGAAAGAACTTTTCCGGAGCGTTTTGGGAAGTTGGCAGCGGCACCGCGGGCCCCGTGCGCTCCTGGAGGAAGGGACGCAGCGAGGATCCAGGCGCCCGGGGCCGGCGCGAGGTTCCGGGGTGGGAGAAGGAGGCTAGGTCGCTGGACCTCGCTGGTGCCCCGCACCCGCCCACCTCGCGGACTTGCCGTTTTCACCCCGCCAGGGCAAAGAAGCCTCTCTGGTGAACCTCGTCTTCCCTCCCCGGTCCCCACGCTCCACTCCGCCTGGCCGGGCCACTCACCATCCGCCCGCACCGAGAGGCGCGGCAGGCCGAGCAGGAGCAGCGCAGCCGCCCAGATCGCAGGCAGGCGGCGGGGCGCTGGGGCGCTCATGGTCCTGGCGAGCGCGACCTGGAGGGCTCGGCTGATGGTCCGGCTGCGCTCGGGGTTCGGGAGCCACCGCCGGGCGTGCGTGCGCGCCGCTTGGCGCTGCGCTCTGATCGCGGGCTTCGCACCCGGCGCGCGCACAGGGGAGGAGCGCGCAGAGCCGGTGGAGCCCGGGGACACTGCGGGGCCGGAGTGCTGTGGTCGCCCAACTCCCGGGGGTCTTCTCCGTGGCGCCGGGAAGGCGGCAATAAGCCGGCTCCGCCTTCGTGCTGGGCACCTGGAAACCTCGGTGCCAAAAAGGGCTGCGGCCCGCGGGTGCCGCTGGGATGTAGGATGAAGGCTCGGGGAGGCGGAGAGAGTGGAGCCCCCAAGGAACCTTCGCCTAGCTGGGGTCCCCTGGAGGGAAGGGGACGCAGGGCTGGCTGACACGCCGAGCCCCTCCCACGGAACCGTTAAACCGATGCTCGAGTCTATCCTTTGCCTCTTGATTTTCCAAGAGGAAAGGTTTGTCTTGGCATCCACTTGAAGTGGAATTTTTTTAATATAATTTTTTAATACCGGTCATGGGACTTGAACTCAGAGCCTGGGCGCTGTCCCGGTGCTTTTTGTGCGCAAAGCTAGCACTCTACCACTTGAGCCACAGCTCAAGTCTGTTTTGGTAGTTATTTGGAGATCAGAGTTTCATGGGCTTTCCTTCCCGGGTTTGACTTCAAACCGTGATCCTCATATCTCAGCCTTGTGAGTAGCTAGGATTATAGGCATGTGTTACCGGTGTGTAGCAGTTTTTAAATTTTATTTTTAATGAAAAGGGAAGCATATAACATACTTCGATCTAAGACATGAAACGCATGGAGTGGTAAGTCCTCTTTCCCACAAAAAAAGGGCATCTTAATGGGGCGCCCCATTCATCACTTTTCCTAACACAACGCAGTATCGGTCAAGAACGCAAAGAGTGTTAACGGGGTTGCCTCTATCACCACCCACCTCCAGAAGCCCAGCTCTTAGAGGGTCCGAGATTCGGATGTCTTTCTGAGAATATATTCTCTAGGTAAGTGCACTATTAGAACTGTGACTCCGGTTACACTCAGTTTATAAATCCTTGTGCCTGCGCCTGTACCTACAACATGCTTGCCTACTGATAGTCTGTAATGAGGCCATTTGTCCTAAACAAAAATTTACCCACTTAAATAAAATGGAGCTATAATGGGCTCTAGTGGCTCAAGTCTGTAACCCTAGCTACTTAGGAAGCTGAAATCTGAGGATGACAGTTCAAAGCCAGCTGGGGCAGAAAAGTCTGTGAGACTCTTATGGCCAATTAACCACCAAAAAGCTGGAGGTATTGCTCAAGTGGAAGAGCACTAGCCTTGAGAGGAAAAGGCTAGGGGAGAGTGAAAGATCTTGAGTAACACACACACACACACACACAAAACAAAACAACAAAAAAGATCTAAAAATTGAATAAAGATTTGGTGAAATGGGCAGATAATTGTTACCAGTCAGTGTACTAGGACTTAGATATTGAAAGACTAAGAATGGAACCGACATTGATTTGCTCCAAGTGTCCCCTTCTTACTTCTCATCAACTCCATATTGTGAATAATTCCTTTGGGTCATTAAGCTCTGCTTTCCCCTCCCTGAGTACTAGAGTTCAGTTCAGGGCCTCCACTTACTAGGCTTGCTTACCAAGCTGGCGCCCGCTCACTTGAGCCATGCCTCCAGTCTGGCTTTTTTTTTTTTTTTACTGGTTATTATTTTGGAGCCTACTGGCTTCAAATTTTGATCCTTTAGATCAGGCTTACAAGCCTGAACCTTCATTGTCTCTTCCCAACCTCCACAATTTGCATTTAAAACCAGATGCTCCAGGGTGTTAACTGTAGTGAGGCGAGTAAGTATCAATGAATTTACTTAGCTTTTCCTTCTAACAGTTAGATTGGTCACCTGAGGAGCCAGACTTCACATGTCTGGACCTGAGGGATCATTGAAAATTTACTTAATAAGAATGGAGAGGAAGGGGCGAAAAGGCATCTGCAGTGGCTAACAACTGACCACTCAAGAACTGTCCCTAGAAATGTTTGTAGATCTGTTACTTAACTATGATTCCCAAATCCTAATGACATTTTTAAACACTATTTGTTCAGATCTGTCTTGGTCTGTCCTCACTTGGGGAGATGACAAGCTATATCATATAAAGTTATATCCAAAAGAAATAAAGCATTGGCGACAGAGGGATGAGCATAGCATCTTTCCAAAAGAAATAAACATTTGTCCGCAAAGAGAGTCATATAAAAACATTCATAATAGCTTTATTCACAATAATCAAAAGGTGGACTCAACTCAAATGTCATTAATGAGTGAGTAGGAAAACCAATTGTCATGTCCACACAATGGAATAGCATTCAACAAGAAGGATATGATGTATTCAATGAATTATGCAACAATGTGGTTGGATCTCAAAAACACAAGCCTTAGCCAGTTTCCAGTGGCTCATGCCTATAATCCTAGCTACTTGGGAGATTGAGTTCTGAGGATCGTGGTTTGAAGCCAGACTTGGCAGGAAAGTCTGTGAGACTTCATCTCCAATTATCCAGCAAAAAAAGCTAGAAGTAGAGCCGTGGCTCAAGTGGTAGAGTGCCAGCTTTGAGTGGAAAAGCTAAGGGACAGCATGCAGGTCCTGAGTTCATGCCCCACTAGTAGTGCACGCACACACATACACACACACACACACCTGCACACAACAAAAGAAGTGTAGATGATATCATGTGTGACAACAAATGAAACATTTGGACATTTGATGAGTGTATATATAGTGATATAGTAGAAGGAGAGCAGGCAAGGAAAGTAAAATCAGAATTTATTCAAATAAGGAGAAATAGCTGTGGAAAGGGGAACCCTTTTTCTATTTAGCCAACAGAAATGTGTTTTTTTATGTTTGTTTTTTGTTATTGTGTCTGTTATGGGCCTTGAACTCTGGGCCTGGACGCTGTTACTCAGCTCTTCAGCTCAAAGTTAGCACCCTACCACTTGAGCCACAGTGCCACTTCTGGTTTTCTGGTGGTTTATTGGAGATAAGAATCTCATGGAAGGCGCGGATGTCGGTGGCTCCCGCCTGTAATCCTAGCTACTCGGGAGGCTGAGTTCTGAGGATCGGTGTTCAAAGTCAGCCCGGGCAGGAAAGTTCGTGAGACTCTTATCTCCAATAAACCACTAGAAAACTGGAAGTGGCACTGTGGCTCAAGAGGTAGAGCTCTAGCCTTGAGCTGAAGAGGTGAGGGACAGTGCCCAAGCCCAGAGTTCAAGCCCCACGACTGACCAAAAAAAAAAAAAAAAGGATCTCATGGACTTTCCTACCTGGGCTGGTTTTGAACCGCAATCCTCAGATCTCAGCCTCCTGAGTAGCTAGGATTACAAGCGTGAGCCACCGGCGCCAGGTTCAGAATAATGTTATCTAGAGAATTGTGGTGGCCTCAGCCATTGCCCCCACCTCCCATCCCTGACACTCAGCAGTGATAGTCTTCAGATCAAATCTAAACAGAAGCTTGGATTTTTGCCTTGCTGCACAGCCTCCATCCCAGTACATTCCCAGTATATATGATCCCATTACACAAGCCCTGATAGGACTGCAGAAGGACTCACTGACAGCCAGATTATTAGAAGCATCGTTTCCATCAATTGCCTTTTCTGAGCACAGGATACACATGTATCCACGAACTGTGCCCGCTCTAAGGTGCCCATCATTGCGATCAATCTTCTAGTTCTGAACTTTTCAACTTGCTGTCCCTAAATTAGTAAAAGGGCTAATAATGAGACCATTTTAACCTTCTTTATAAACCAAAGCTCACTGAATTTTTCTTTTTAAAAAGCGATTTATTATTTTTTAATTATTTATTTTTTGTGTGTTTATGTAGTACCAAGGAATCAAACCCAGGGCCTCATGAATGATAGGCAAGCACTCTGCCACTAAGCCACATTCCTTGCCCTGGATTTTTCTTTTGTTTTTCCTTCCTTCCTTCCTTCCTTCCTTCCTTCCTTCCTTCCTTCCTTCCTTCCTTCCTTCCTTCCTTCTTTCCTTCCTTCCTTTCTTCCCTCCCTTCTCCCTCCCTCCCTTCTTCCCTCCCTCCCTCCCTCCCTTCTTCCTTTCTCCTTCCCTCCTTTTTAAAAAAAATTTTATTGTGAAAATACTGTACAGAGGGGTTACAATTACATGGACAAGATAATGAGTACATTTCTTATCAAGCATTGTAGCCTCCTCCTTTGTTTCCCCTTCTCATCCCATCCTCCCCCCACCCCCCACCCAACCCTCCTCCCTCCCCCCCTCCAAAGTTGTAAAGTTCTTTTTGACATAACACTTGTCCTCCCTCCTTTTTAATTAATAAAATTATCATGTACCAATGGCTCACATCAATAATCCTAGCAACTTAAGAGGCTGAAATTTGAGGACGAGGTTACCTGGGGAAGACATATCCAAGTGATGTTTATCTCTAATTATCCAGCAAAATGCCAGAAGTGGTGTGGCTCAAGTAGTAGAATATCAGCCTTGAACAAAAAAGCTAAGTAAGAGCATGAGGCCCTGAGTTCACGTCCCAGTACCAGCACAAAAGGTAAAATAAAATAATAAAAATGTTTATTGTGGTAAAATACAACTTGCAATTTTGATCATTTTAAAGATACATTGTAGTGGCATTAAGTGGCCTCGCATTGTACAACTATCACCACTATCCATCTCCAAAACATCTTCATCACCTCAATCCAAAACATTTCAAAGTAACACTTTAGGCTGGGTGTGCATCTCAGTGACACAACACATTCTTGACATGCAAAGGCTTGGATTTTCTCTCTAGTACCAAAGCCCCCAAAAGACAATAACTGGATATTTCCTCCTCTCTCCCTTCTTGGGCAGCCTCCTTTTCACTTTTTTTCTGAATTTGTCTGTTCTAGGTATCGTTATATATAAGAAGAATGGTAGACTCTTTCTCCTTCAGTGTCACTGCTGTTTCCTAGTGCTCATGACAGAGTGGATACAATTGGTGTCACATCATGGACAACCCAGGAGCTCCTTGGTATTCCTCATTTTTAACCTGGGAAACATCGTATGGAGAAGCAGCAGAACACTAGAAGCAGGTGCCATGGGAGCATGCACCATCCCGTCACACAATTTATGTGTTCCTTCCAGTTATATGCTTGTACATGCCAACTTTACTTAATAGTGATATTCTCCTTTATGATTCATACTACCCCATTCATGAATCCAGGGCAAGTCTCCTACTCATGTGGCATCTTGTGGGCAACTGGGTAATCTCCACCAAGGCTCAATGGCAAGAAAGAACTCTTAGTTAAATAGAGAATAGTTGAATGAACCCAAAAACTTTAGAAGTCTGTACTGTTGTTTTATTTGGATAGATCAAGTGTTCCACAATTATTCTTAGCTGCTACAGACTTAGCCAGAAGTGGGTGGCTCATGCCTGTAATCCTAACTACTCAAGAGGCTGAGAAAAAGCTTAAGGACAGTGCTCAGGCCCCAAGTTCAAGCCCCAGGACTGACACATACACAAAAAAGTATTGTGCCTTTTAAAATAACATAAATCCAAAAGCCAAGTGCTGGTGGCACACACCTGTAATCCTAGCTAGTCATGAGGCAGAGATCTGATGATTGTGATTCAAAGCCAGCTTGGGCAGAAGAGTATGTAAGACTCTTATCTCCTATTAACTAGCAAAAAGCTTGTGGTAGAGCTCAAAGTGGTAAAGCACCAGCCAGGAGCCAAAAACAACAAGTGAACAAGGCCTTGAGTTCAAATCTAGTACCAGCATTTTTTTTAAAAAAAAAAGGAAAATTAAGCCAAAGTGGTATGATCATTCACACTGTATCCAGCACAGTACAGAAATGTCTCCTGATCTGCAAATCATAAGCCTTCTGAATCACTACGGTCTTAGAACATTGGGTCTTCTCACTCAACACATAGTCATCAACTTGTTTCTGCATTTAGTCTTGGGATTGGATCAACCTGTACTGTTTGTGCTAGGTGAAGGCAAAGTGCATCTGATTATCTTTGCTGGTCAGTCCAACATAAATTATTTACTGAATCGATGGCTACATCAGAAGTGTGAGAGAGGGCTGGAAGGTGGCTCAGTGGTAGAGCGCTTGCCTTGCATGCATGAGGCCCTGGGTTCGATTCCTCAGCACCACATAAGCAGAAAAAAAAAACAAAAAAAACAAGTGGTGCTATGGCTCAAGTGGTAGCACGCTAGCCTTGAGCTGAAGACCTGAGGGACAGCGGCCCAGGCCCAGAGTTCAGGCCCCATGACCAGACCCCCCCCAAAAAAATAAAAAATAAAGAAGTGTGAGAAAACACATTGATTTATTCTTGTAATGACAATATACCTGGAAGAGTAGCTACAGTTGAAATCAAGGCCTAATTAAGCTAAAGATAAGCAACTAATATTTTCCCAAACTCTTTTGGCTTCTTCCCTGGTATGTAGGAAAGGATAGAGTGATCAAGTACCCTGGTTTAGACCTTGTGTTTACATCTAGCATTCCTGCATGCCATCCAGTTTCAGATTCTTCATGGTTTTAAAGAAATATTGACAGAAGCCAAAATGGTAGTATTTGATTTTGTATTCTAGCTTTGCTGTCTTTTCCACACCCCTTCTACTTCCCCCCCTTTCTCTCTCTCTCTCTCCCTCTCTCTCTCTCTCTCTCTCTCTCTCTCACACACACACACACACACACATTTTTTTGATTTCCTTCTTTTAATGTTTTTGATTCCCAAAATAGTTATCCGATATTTTTTTTCTTTTCTATCTTCTCTTTGTCTTTCTGGAAGATTTCAACATTATCTTTTAACCCATCTGTTTTATTTTTTTTTTTTTAGTTAGTAAGAAATTCTTTTTTTTTTTTTTGTACTCTGAATATTTCTCTCTTGACAGTACTGGAATTTGAATTGAGGGCCTCACACTTGCTGGAGAGGTACTCTACCACTGAGGTACCACTGAGGTTTGTTTCTCACTGTTTTTTGTTTTTTTTCCTCACTGGTTATTTTTGAGAGAGGATCTCATTTCCGGCTTGGGCATGTAGATAGACAGCAATTCACCTATTTTAGGCTTCCCACAGTTACTGGGATAACAGGCACATGCTCCCACATTTAAATTCCTTTAATTGAGATGAAGTCTCATAGGCTTTTGGAACCACAACCAATCTTAGCCTCCTACACAGCTTAGGATGACAAGCCACTGTCCCAGACTTCTGTTGGGATGAATTTCATGGATTTTTCTGCCTAGACTGGCCTGGGATGACAGACATGACATCCTATCCAGTTGTTGGTTGAGAAGGGATCTCAGTCTACCTAGGCTGTCCTTGAACTTCTAAACCCTTTCAGTCTCAGACTTCTAAGTGTGTGTGTGTGTGTGTGTGTGTGTGTGTGTGTGTGTGTATACACGTGCCAGTCCTGGCAGTTGAACTTAGGGCCTGAGTACTGCCCTTGAGTTTTTTTTTTTTTTTGCTCAAGGCTAGTTTTCTACCACTTGAGCCACAGCTTTACTTCCAGCTTTTTGGTGATAAATTGGAGATAAAAGTCTCATGGGCTTGCCCAGGCTGGCTTCAAACTGCGCTCTTCAGATCTCAGCTTCTAGTGTAGCTAGGATTATAATAGTACCTGGCCTTTTTTTTTTTTTGAGATAAGGTTTTATTATATTGCGCGGGCCAGTCAAAAACCCCTGGGCTCAAATGGTCCTCTTGCCTAAGTAAGCCAGGAATTACACTACTACCACGCCTAGCTCTGTTCCATAGTCTTCAGAACAGTGTATTATCTCCCCAAAGAGAGTAAAGTATGGTTTTGAGAGGTTTTTGTCTCTTTATGGTTTCTTCTGGGTTTCTCTTATTTTCCCTGTTTCTTGGTTATGTTTTTCAATCTATTTTATTAGAGATTTAACTCAAAAGTCTAGTTGATCCTGCACGGTCTGCTCATGAACCATGCGTGTGTGCTAAGACAGCACCTACACACAAGGAACCCACTAAGTCATGAGCCAACTAAGTTCATTTTATACTTTGGTGTTTTCAAAGATGATGTGATATTTCAAAGATCCATGCTACAGAGATGACAAGTTGATTTACCATAAGCAATCCTAGGCAACCAAGCATATACTGCTCAAAGCACTCCATAGTTAAGCCTTCTCTAGCTAGCAATACCATTCGATTGTTTACCAGGAGATTTTCTTAGGTCACTTTCTTTTCTCATTGGGTCCCACAAAGAGAATTACAATCCTTTTGCTGAATTAATCATTTCACTGTGCTTATAGTATGCTCTCATTTAATCATATACTCTCATTTAATAATAGTAAAACTTTCTGGATTCAGCATTATTATCCTCACTTAACAAAACAGAGATGGGAGATGCAGTGCTTAAATGGTTTCCCCAAATCCCAACATCTGGTAATATCAGGAGTACCTCAAATGGCCTAATCTTAAATTCTCCATTCCATTGTGCTTTCAAGGATGAGACCTCTCCTCTTCACCCCACGCCAAACAGCCCTTATCATCGCATCCAGGCACAGGGTCTGTTTATCTCTGGAGAACAGGCTTCAGTTCTCTGCCAGCGTGTCAATCACATCCCTTCACTAGATCCAGGGGTCACACACCGCCCTCTTATTCCCACACCCTCCATTTTCATTCTATTTTCCTTTCCTAATTGCACCCACTGTGTGGCC